AGTTGGGTAGTTTGGGACTCACTTCATGTTGCCACTAAGAGTATGTGTCTGTTGTATGTGTGTGTTTGTGAGAGGGAGGGAGGGAGGGAGGGAATAATTTACCTGCTGAAAATGCCAAAAATGCTTCTGGCTTCACAAACTCTCCCTTTTCATTCAGGAAGTTGGAGGGGTTGAACTCATCTGGGAACTTCCACTGAGATTCATCAAAATGTGCAGAATGGAGATTAACAAAAACTATGGTGTCCTGCAGAAGCCAAGACAAGTAGGTCATGTGGAAGAAAGCACTCATGGTCAGATGTGGCTCAGAATGCAACTGGCTGAGCTTTTAGAGTGTCAGCCTTACTAGGTAAACCAGACAGAAAACATGATCAGATGAGCTAATTCTACTTTATTCTAAAGCTACATTAACAGAATCTTTCAAGTCTAAAGGTACAAATCTCCTGCCGTCTTCTTTACAGCCCAAGAAACTAGGGAGGGTCTCTTCTGAGCCTCTTTCCCTGTTCACAATGCAGCTTTGGCCTAACCTGTCTCTTATCTGACCATTCAATAGGCAGGATTTCTTGGCCATTCTCCCAAAGTCGTTCCCACCTACCAATACACAGATAGACTTCACTGAGATGTGATTGAAGAACTGCAGATGAGGGTGAGGAGGAAAAGGGAAGAGTTATAGATCAAGCAGAGCTGAACTCAGTATTAGGAAGAGGGGCAGGAACCAAAACAGGAGATGTGGTAAGATACTGTTCCAGCATGAACTATCAGCCACCACAAGAATTGTTCAGCTTTCAGAAACCACCTTTGCTGCAAGGACTTTAGAGAACCCCGGGAAACTATGCCAACTTGCCAAAGCACACAACAGAAAAATTGGTCAATAAGCCTATTACACTTTCATACAAGGAGGTCCAAAAGCAACTCCTCTTATCCTTTGACTGTGCTATGTCTTCCTTCCATATAAAAGAACAAGATTGATCTCAAATCTTGCTTTCTTTTGCTCTTACATACAAACACACACCTCAGGTCAGAAAAATACAGATGGACACATAGAGATTCACCAACACTTCACTTCACATGAGACAATTAAAGGCTTCTGCTGTTACCTTGGGAATTTTATATCCAAAAAGCTGTACATCTTGAATGGGTGCATGAGGTATTCCCAGAGGAACAACATTTGAAATGCGTTGGATTTCATGAATGACAGCATTTGTGTAGGGCAAATTCTCTCTGTCTTCACACTTCAAGCTTGCATTGCTTCCCAGAACAGTGTCTATCTCCTTCCAGCATTTCTCTAAGGAACCAAGAACTCAGTTATTTCTGGAAAAGATTTCACTAACTCTATGTAGACATGGTTGGTATACTTCCCAGCAAAGTGCCCACCACAAATAATAAGATTGCAGCTCACTGAATTCCCAGCCATGATATTGACTCCCCATTCATGACCCTTCCTCATTTGCATTATAAGTGAAGGTATTATTACTGTTACTAGTCAAGAACACCGTTTCATAATTCTTTACCTTGGATCTCTGGAAAGGCCATCAAATAGAGGAATCCCCATAGAAGTGTTCCTGCCGTTGTCTCTGTTCCAGCCATGAATAGCTCAGACAGTAAGACTCGTAGTTGCTGTTCTTCAAAACTTGAACTTTTCCTCCCTGCCTTTTGGAAGTTAGAATAAAGAATATTGTTAAAATCAAATGGAAAAAGCATCTTCTCCCGCTCATGTCTTTTTTTTAATACAGTTGATAACAGCAATTTGAAAATGGGATTTCATTCTGAAAAAATATGCCTAAAAGGGGAAAGGAAGTAGGGAGAGGAGAAACTGGCATGTTCTTCCACTGACAACCCATCATGATAGAAACAGTTCAGTGAGAGCATTAGGGATGCCCAGAGAGTCCTCTGGTGGAGGCAAAGGGCCCTTTCTTCCCAATCCTCCCTCTGCTGCATCTGGATGGAAAGATCTATGTTAGCCGGCAGGGTTTGCACAACATGCAAAGCAAGGAGGGCACATAGCTACATTCACACATCATGTCCACCAGGAAAAAAGTGGACAACATCTATAAAAGTCAATGTATCAATGCATTTGTTGTACTTTCAAGACCCATAATGTCACAAAAATGGATTCAAGTTGGGAGGGAGAGAAAATAATGCAAACTCCACAACAAGAGATTAGGAAACCTACCTTCTGCATTTCTTCCAAATATGCATCAGTGAAATCCCGGGGTTCTCCAGGAACCAGGGTCGCCTTGTGCTCTTCCACCTCTTTTTCAAAAAAAGCTTCTACTTTCTTTGAAGTTGTTAGTAGTCTCTGATGGGGCAGAGGAAGCCTCCTCACTAAGGGCACCGCGTTGTAAAGCTGCCAGCAAAGAGAAGAAAAGCCAACATTGATTAATTTGACCACAATGGAGTCTTCTTTGTAGGATTTATAGAGCAGGAAAAAGATCCCTTCTATTGTAAAGGGTTCATGGAAATCTCTCCTGTTCACAATTTGATAGAGAATCAAACATCCAAATCAGGCAAAATTTCAATACAGAAATTCTTGTTAAGGATACCAAGCCCCACGGTCCCAGTGCCAGTTTCGAATTTTGATGTATCTCATGCAGCAGAGTTTTGAGGAAGGCGCTGTCATATTCAAAACGTTTCCCAAATATTATGGTAAAAATAATGTTGGCGACTGCATTCTGCAGAAACTCATGAGGATCAAAAGGCACACCTGTGAAATAAAACAAAAGAAAAGAGATCTCTACTGATCCACCCTCCTACATGTTCCTTTAGGGGAGTCACAAGATGCTCTCCCCTAAGCAGCTTTACTGATTGCCGAGGCATCACTGGAAGAAGACAAGATAAATCCACTATAGATTCCAGTTCTCTGATCAGCTCACTATGACCTTTTTGGCAAAAGAGTCCCCAAGATCAAATGGTGTCTGCTATCTTTTTCTAACAGATAAAAATCTTGCAGAAATTTAAACAAACTACATCAAAAAGTGTTACTCTGCGAGATAGTTCAGACAAGTAGCAGAACTGGAAGCTCTACCTAATGTGCAAGGAAAAAGACTGCTTGGGACTATCGATGCAGACAATATGTCTCTGACTTCATCATTACTATATAACCTTTGGGGCAGCAACAAAAATTAGGTGACAGGCTCCATACATTGAAGGAGGTGGTGAATGAACAGTTAACAGAATACATTTCTCCTAAGGAAATGTTGCTGCTCCTCAGTGATTCAGAACCTGAGCAATCCTTGAGATTTCTGCTTTCTATCATGAACTGCTAAATGTGAATTCTTAGTCCAATCTCAATTTGTCACCTTGTTGGACTTAAGTCCATTGCAAACATATCCTGGTAAGCCTTGCCAGTAGAGATGATTGCCTTTTAGTCCAACACTTCTGGAGATCATTGCATTGAGGAAAGGCTACTAGGTCATCACAGGGGCAGCATGGAGCATGGTGAGAGGTAGGCCCAGTGAAGGATGGCAAAGAGTTTTCCATGAAAACAGAGGTTGGTAACTAGGTATGTTTCCTAGGCTGGCCATTTTATATTTGATGATTCTCCCACCTTCTCCCAGTTTTCTATGGAGATCCAAAAGCATTCTCACAATTTTAATTAATAGCTTCCAACCAAGAAAGTTACAGGACTGTTGCTTTACAAACATGACAAGCACAGAGACCAAATGAACAATTTCTCTTATTTTGGTCAATGGGGATTGGAATTGTATGCAACCAGAATTCTGAGCTTCTCCAACTCTCCTTCAATACACACACTCAGTCGTCAAGTTGGAGGTCAGCTAAATGATGTCTTATGGAAAAGAAGGAACACTGAAGTAACAATTCCCTAGCCATCCCATCCTGTCCCAGGAGAACTTACTCATCTTTTCAGTGAACGCCTCAATCAGATAAATTGCCTCCTCCAAGATCTTTTCCTCCATTGATTTCTTGCCCACTCCAAAGTGTCTGAGAAACATCAGTGAAAACTTTCTTTGCTCCTTCCATACTTCACCGTATCTTACTGTCAGTATACCTAAAAAATCATCCAACAGTCATTCACCTGTAT